TTGACAATTTTTGTCGATGAACTCACAAGTGGTCTGAAGTCCCTTATGTCCAGGTCTTTTTCTTTCTTCACTCCCAACCCTCTCTATGTACCATCTGTCACTCCGCTCAACTTCTCTTAGCCAAAAAGTCTCTTAATCAGGCCCCTGACAGTACTCCCCCTTGTCTTTCTCCAAACCTCCTGGCTCCTTGTCTGCACCCCCAGTAAGGCCTCCTCCATATTCTGGGTGCCCCTCACCATCACCTCCCTCCACTACCCCCTCAACTCCCAAAGCCTGAGGTGACTGTGGCCCAGATACCCATGCCCTCCCAGGAGCCTTACCCACCGGACTCCCTGGAGTCTCTCTCTCTCCCTCCTTCCCAGCTCCCTCCCTACTTGGCCTCCTCTAAGACAACACCTGCAGCCTTCCAAACTCCCCAATTGCCATCAACCTGCCCGTTGTCATCTCCTCCCTTTGTCATCTCCCAGTTGCCACCCACACCACTCCCACTATACCCTTGCCTGTTCCCTCCTGAGGTTTCAGAAGCAGAGGAGCCGGTCAGGGTCCATGCACCGTTCTCCCTGACAAACCTCTCCCAGATACAGAAGTGGTTAAATGTTTTCTCACAGAACCCTACCACCTTCATTAAGGAGTTCTGATACCTTACTCAGGCTTAGGACCTCACTTGGCCTCAGACCCCTACCTGTGACCTGGTGAACATGGCATTTAAAGTTTTTAATGCCTGAAAGGAGCAGGCAGAAGCAGCAGTGCAAATCCTGAGCCTGCCAAAAAGCCAGCTGGCAAGCCCAAGCCTTGTTTGCTGCCCTAAGGCCGGTAGGAGGGAGGGGTCAGAAGACTCCAGGAAGTAACAACATTAATTGCCCGCTGCCAGGATCCTGCTTCAAATGTGGCATGGAAGGGCACTGGGCTAAACACTGCCCGCAGGCCCAACAGTCCAGCAAGCCTTGCCCGGCATGTGGTCAATGGGGGCACGGGAGAAGAGGCTACCCCTCAGCTCCTGGCCTCAGAGGATCAGTCCCTTCAGACCTGGACCCACTGTTGACATTGTGTGGAGCTGGCAGCTAACGACGACTGAAGAGCTGTAATCAAACCAGAAATGATTAAAACTGGTATTTGGGGTCTTCTGCCTAAAAGAACTATAGGACGTTTATAAGGAAGGTCCAACCTAAATTCTCCAGGTGTTCAGATTGTTACTTGAGTTACTGACCAGGATTATGAAGGAAAAATTAGGGCAGTGATAAAATCTGATCTGCCATGGTTTATAAAGAAGGACAATTGCTTAAGCCAATTTTTGCTTCCTTGCATTTTTAGAGTTAAAGTTTATACCTATCAAGAAAGAGTACCTGAAAAGTCTGACCACCCTCTGAATCAAGGGGTCTTTTGGAAAACAACAGGGCCCCCACATGGAATTAGAAATTGAAGGAAAAGTGTTTTTAGACTTTGGATATGGGGTCATTTCCTTAGGGCATTCACAAGGGCCTAAGACCTGCCCACTAATTTCCCCTAAAACATCTGGACAAATTAATTAAGATTTTTTCAGTCTTGCAAATTATCCTGAGCATGTTAAGAACAGCAAGGAACCTAAATTTACATAACATAATTTACATACTGTATATACTCGAGTAGTAGCTGACCCGAATATAAGCTGAGGCACCTAATTTTACCACAGAAAAAAACCTAGGGTGGGAAATGCAGCAGCTACTGGTAAATTCAAAATAAAAATAGATACTAATTAAATTCCATTAATTTAGGCATCAGTAGATGAAATGTTTTTACATACTTATTTCAAAGAAAAATAGTAAACTACCTCTGTAAGTGGAAAAGAGGGTCAACAAAAACAATGTGGTATCAACAACTATACACCCTGTGTTACTGCATGCGCTGCATTACTACATATGCTGCCTTACCGTATGTTCACAACACAGCTTGTATAGTTTGAGGCCTGATGCAGGCTGATGATATTTCAGAATGTGTTGACATGACTGTTTGCATAGAACAGCCTGTGTTAGGGCTCATAATATACATGCTGTGTTGTATACACACTGTGTTACCGCATGCACTGCATTACTGCATACGCAGCATTACCACACATGTATGGGAAGTGCTAACGCAACGCATAGAGTAACAGAGCGTACACAATGCAGTGTGTATATTATGAGCCCTAATACAGGCTGCTCTCTGCAAGTATAGTCAACACTGGGTCCAGATAGGGGTTAATAAGAAAATAAATAATAAAATATAGCAGACTAAGTACTGTAAATAAATATACTGTATATCCAAGACCAGACACTTATATTCAGCAATGCTTGGGCGGAGCAAGGGGGCGTGACCAGGCACGGGTAAGACTGTAACGGCTACGTCATTGGTCACAGCCCTGGAGAAAAGCCACATCTGACATTTATCTGACAAGGATGCGGTGCGCCCCCGGTACCAGCACCCAGAAGCGGGCAGGTTCTTGCCCAGTATGACACAGACAACACAGAGGCTGCCAGCGTGCAGGAGAAAAGAAGAGCGGTGATATCAGCCGTGATGGGACCCCCCACAGAGGCTGCAGGTGAGCCGGAGAGACGGGAGAACACCTGCACTGTACCGGAGAATAGGTAAGTGAGACCCTTACTTGAGTGTAAGCTGTGGGGGACTTTTTTTTCAGCACAAAAATGTGCTGAAAAACTCTGCTTGTACACAAGTATATACGGTAAGTCTATCTGACCAGTTTTACTGGTTCAAAACCAAGTAAGTTAACTGAGATTGCTTGTCGTGTTTTAAAATCTCCATTGTTAAAACAGAAGGGGGAGAAAAAGAGAAATTTTATGTATGACAAACTTCATTTAGTCTTTTTGACTAAATTTTTTTTCCTCCTTACTGAAAGCTTGTAACAAATTAGGGCAGATAAACCTATTTTCACCTCTACAGAAAAAGCTGATCCTAAGAAGTCCCAAGAAGATGGAAAACGCCCCTTTGACTCATTCGATTGTGGGGGCTGGTGCCCCCCACAAATGAGTTTATGCCAACAGATGGGGGAGGAATGATCCAGAGAGGGAGGCTGCGAGTGCTTGCGCAGATGAAGAACGGGATCCAGGTCACTAAGTATCCGTGGAGGAGCTGTCGGATTGATGTGTACTGTGAATATGTTCAGCATCAACAACAATTTAACAATTAAAAACTGAGAGAAAGAAAGGACAGGATAAGAGATTAACAGAGGTGTGAACATGCAAATATACTAATCCATCACAATAGCTATTGGCCTATGTACATATATTTATATGCACTGAAGCTGCAGACTGGCCTTGGGCCTCGGCTCATAACTCCCCTCAATGCAAGAACACATTGTTCTAACAAATTGGCATTCTGTGATGCTCACCCCCCACCCACCCACACACACACATGATCGGTGAAGAAAAAATGGGTGCATAAGCAGATGTGATGAAGACAGAGGGTGGTGCCCGGCTATTAAAAGATAAAGTGTCTGGGGTCTTAAAGGCCTGAAGTTAAACAAATGGCCATCCAACAGTGAAGCAACAAGCCCACATGGAAGAAGCACACCAGCCAGTCCGATCGTGAGGTGTCATTGAGACTGGGCAATGGCCATCAGAAGATTCACAACAAACAGTAAACAAACAAACAAAAATACTTTGGTGAGAATGGAGGGGGTTGGAGCGGAGACCCAAAGCCCATCCATGGACAATGGAACATCCCCCCACAGAGGGGTCGCAGGGAGGGGGTGAGTCAATCAGGGTGCAGTAGAGCACTAATGGGTCACACAAAAAGTACCTCTGTTCCCTGGAGCCCTCCTCACCCCTCCTCCCCATCAGAACCTCAGTGTCACCTCCCAATCCAGACTAGACGGGAACATGGACATAGGTATAGGCAAGAGATAAAACTCACAACACATGGAACCAAGGAACAGGAATGGGACTAGAGATACCAAAAGGGTAGGGGGGAGGGGGAGAGGTGGGGAGGGAGGGGGGCACGGATCACAATGAATGCAACATAACGACACAGCACACCCCCATCCAGGGGGAAGAACAGAAACCAGAGGGGAAGGGAGACAGCAGTCAGAGTGAGATTTGAAAATAATTAACAATCTACAATCTATCAGGGGGCCATGGGGGTTGGGGCGGGGAGGAGGGAGGGAAAAAAAGAGGAGCTGATCCCAAGGGCTCAATGGAAAGTAAATGTCTAGAAAAGAACGATGGAATATACGTATATATGAATATGTTGGATACAATTGATGTATGGTTTGTCACAAGAGTTGTAAGAGCCCCCAATAAACTGATTTAAAATAATAATCATAATAAAAGCAAGGACAGGATATTGTATCCTGATGATCACACAGAGGTCAGGACCTCTACACTTTATCCTGCCCAGGTCACCCAGGTGACCACCAGATTGTCACCATGGAGAGATGAGGCCTTCCAGTCAACCCCCGCAGCCTGATTACACATGCGGAATACAGGAAGTCAGTGTGAGTTCCTCACTTTATTGGGTCAAACTCAAAAAAACTGAGGCAAAGGGCCTGCAGGGACTGGAGCCGGGAGGAGAAGAAGGCCTTAAACCTTCCATCTGCATCTCGAAACATGGGCAACTGTAAAATTAGTGCAAGCCCAACAAAGGTCTTAAAAAATATAACCTTCCACCCCACCCCAACACTCCCTGGCTCCTGGCTCCACTGGAGTCTTAGGCTCTGCTAACCTGCCTCTGTCCACCCACCCTCCACTGTAGATGTGTGGACCTGGGCACACAGTGACCCAGAACAGAACTGTTCCTTAAGATCTTGGAGACTGTAAATCTTTACCGGAGCAATCAGTCTCAACTTTGCCACACACACACACACCAGTTGTTTGGGGGTTTGAACCGCTGACCTTGTAATTAGCTGTCCAGCACTTAACCCGCCATGCCACCAACTCCCCCACTTCCCAACTAAAGGTGCAGCAGAGGCCGGAGCATTACAGGGAGGCATCGGCTTCAGGGACATGGACGAAAGACCAAGGGATCCAGCCTCACTTGGGAACAATGAGCCCAGCAAGGTCACGTGCCTGGCCCGGGTAGGAGACGTGTCCGCCCCACTGGGCACCCACCCTCTTTAGAGCTAGGCTGGACTCTTGTTTCCAGACAGCGAAGAAAGGAAAGATCTTGTCCAGGAATGTAATGCTGAAGGTGAAGATGCGCACCCCGGTGTCGGCATTGAAGAGGGTCAGCAGGCCCGCATCTTAGTCCAGGGTGATGCCCACGCGGCACGGGGTGGCCCCCAGCGACAGGTCGAGGTCAGGAGCGGTGCTGGCCAGCACTGCTGCTCCTGGAAGACCACACCCCAGACACCATCCTCGGTGGTCAGGCCTGTGTCTCCCTTTCTCCTCACCACCTCCAGGGCCACCCCCAAGGCACAGCCACCACCAGCCCCCATGTGCACCTCCACTAGCCAGCGGTGGCAGCCAGAGGAGAAGCCCGGAGAGCCCAGCACCACTGGCAAGCCTTAGGAACGCAGGGTGCCATCGGGCACATTCCAGGTCTGCCCGGTACTCTTCATGGTCTTCCAGTCCTGGGAAAGAACCAGGTGCCCGCAGGCCATCTGAGGGTCCAGGGTGACAGCCCCTAGAGACAGGCGACAACAGCCATCAGCCAGCTGAGCTGGGGCAGCCAGAAATGTCCCCATTGCTTGTGATGGTGTGGTACAGGAGCCAGAAAGACCATGGTCCTCACTCTGCCCTTCCTTGACCTGTTTTCTGAACCTCAGTTTCTCCTTCTGTCACCTGAGAGCAGAAGGCCATCAACGTGCCCCACCAATGGTACTGCACGACTTTTTTTGCACATTGGTCCCTGGGGATGAGGATGTGGGTTCCCATCCCAGTCAAACTTAGTGACTGTGAACCTACATTGAACAGAACTGCAGGCGCTCTGCCTGAGCTGCATTTGAGAAGCATTGAAGTCAAAGTGCCTAGCAGGTGGAGACCAAGCTTGTGGAAGGTGTTTCTGATGTTTCCACAACTGTTTAACACTCAAGGCGATTTGATTTTTTAATAATTGTGCAATATTCCATTTAATAAGAAATCCAGCTCAGTGCTAGACATAAAGCAAAGACTCAATAAAATTCTGAATGGTAATATTGAGGTAAGTCTCTAATCTAACTGAGCACTTAACCATTAACCAGATATTGTCCTAAGCTCTTTGGGTGTACCAATTCATCAAACCCTCACAGCGGCTAATGGAATGCCTATGCTTATTTTTCCACTTGATAGGTAAATACATTTGGGACCAAAGGACTATGTAATTGGTCCAAAGTTCACCAGCCAACAGAACTGGGATACAGAACCCCCAGAAAGGGTCCCTGGAGTTTGTCCACCGTGCGGCCCTCAAACTATTTAAACGGGACCAGTTCACTGTTCCTCAGACCCGTTGGAGTGCTGGACTATAGTTTTTAAAAAAACTATAAACAAATTCCTATGCACACTGCACATATCTTATTTTGAAGTAAAAAACAAAAGGGGGAAAAACACCCGGTGGGCCAGATAAATGTCCTCGGTGGGCCTCATGTGGCCCGCGGGGCGGAAGTTTGAGGACCCCTGGTCCATGCCATTGCTCTGTTCAGGGCCATGAGGTGAATGGATGAATGGCTCTCAACTGCCACCCCCATGCCGCCCAACTGCCACCCCCATGTCGCCAGCTCTGTACCTGAATCCGTTTCCAGGTGAAGCATCAAGTTTTCTGAGGGAAACAGAAAGAAAGAGCTGTAATGTGTTCCTGACGGGCGCCCCTGGGGCCCTGAGTTTTATACTCCGTGTGAGGAGAGGAAGAGGAGAAGGTGTCTCCGTGATCTGCTGGTTGCGAAGAGGCCCTCTGTGATATACAGAGCACCTACCCCCGGGAGTGGAGGAACTGCTATCAGGAACAGCATGGAGCCAATAAGAGAGGTTTACCTGAGGGCAGGTGCCTGGAGCCCGGCTGAATGCAGGGCACATGGGAATGCAAAGTAGAAGAGCGGATGATGGGGATGCGGTAAGCTCAGGCGCCTTCTCTTTTACCTGAGAACTTGCTCATCATTTCCGGGAGAGGGAGAATTTTCCTGTGGAGACT